CCTTACACTAATTACAGTTTGATTATGAACAGTATTTAATTTTTTGGCTGCATTTGTAGCATTCTCATCACTTAAAAATAAAAAGTATAAAACATGTCTCTTATATTCATCTGTTACTTCCATTTTAACGAAAATAAACAACTGAAATGTTCCCAATTCTGAACAGTATTATATGAATGAGATCCAATTTAACACTTCAGTGTAAAAAGTATCACATTAGACTGGCATTTTTAACAGAAAAACAAGATTTTTCTCAAAGTCATAAAATGCACAGGAACTTATGGACTGACCTGATACATAGTTTCATAATATATAATAAATCTAAAATTATTTATATTTAATAAGAATTTATATTTATATATAAGAAAATTTAAGAAAGAATAATTTCTATAACTACTAATCATCAATATATAATTTTTGCTTTTACTTTTTGTGCAACTTCCTTAAGAAAAGAAACTCCTGGTCCAAAGGAAGGAAATACAATTGAACCATATTTAACACATTCGGGAGCAGGTCTCACTTTTAATGTTGCCTCTGTCACTACACCAAGAATGCCTGGAAAATTGTTACAAACAGATATTCAAATTAGCAAACACAAATATAAAAACTATTTTATTGAAGAATAATTATCTGTTATAAAGACAAACTATAAAATTTAAATTGATAGTTTTATCTCATATACAACTAAAAGATATACCTTCTGATCCCAAAATAAACTGATGTATATCTGGTCCTGTGGACATTCTGGGAACCTATAAAACATTTTGTTTTTAAAAGCAAAAATTTTTAAATAAAAAATTTGCAATTATGTTAAATACCTGACAATTTTTCTTCACTACACCCTTAGGTGTAACCATTGTAATGTGCTGAACCATATCTTCAATATTTCCATAAAGACTTCTTTTCATTCCAGAGGCTCTAGTTGCAATCCATCCACCTAATGAACTAAACTCGTAGGAATCTGGTTCGTGTCCCAAACATAATCCATGTTTTGATAGCTAAATTGATTATAATTATTACATAAAATTATTTAAAACAAACTATAATTATTTAATTTATACCTACTTCATGCTCAATGTCTTGACCTATAATACCAACTTCTACACGGGCTAGTAGATTTTCTTTGTCAATCCATAATATTCGATTCTGAAAAAAAAAAAAAAAAAAAAGAAAGTATATAAATAAAACGAAGATCTGATTATAGAAAAAACTCAATATTTAAAAAATTTAACACACTTCATTACCATTTGAGATGTATCTAAAGATATTATCATGCGTTGTTCCGTTTCAGGACATTCCAATGCTTTAGTTACATTTGTTCCTCCTGAAAAAAAAAATTGTTATAGCTTATCAGTTTACAAGATATTTCTATATTTTATACTCACAAAGTAGAATAACATTGAATATAAGATCTGCAAGATACAGTATATTGATAAGTCTATGTAGAATAGCAATAAAATAAGAGAGAAAATTAGGCTATAGATATTTTTTTTTGTTTAAAATATAGTATTTACATTACAACAGAATTTCAGTTATTGATTTTACAACATATTTATATACAAGTAACATAAATTTAGCAAAAATTTAATTTTTTTTTTCATTTACCAAACAGAATGCTGCAAGTAGAAGATAGTGGCAGTTTTTAAAACTGTTTTAAGAGGGTCTCTTATCCAGGTCATCATGGGTTTTGGAAAAGCTTGCAGTGAGAGCGGACTGATGGTGAGGGAACATGGTTCAACATTTTGCGGACAAACCCATGAAAAATTTCCGGAGTTACCTCCCAGATTCGATTCTAATTCCTTCAGAACAGTGGGACAATGCTTTTATTGCCTTGGCCATCATGTTAATAGTATAGTATCAGAAACAATAGTGACACAGTTGTTAAAATCTACCACCACCCATTTACTAATCAAAAGTGTAAAGATGTTGAGCAGAATGTTTCTTCTTCAAAAAATAATATGGAGTAGTCTATAAAAGTTTGAGGAATCATTTTCATTTTACAATGTATATGAAAGTATGTGAATGTTTGATGATATTTATATATATATTTTTTTCTGTTTTGAGCTAATGCTAGATTATTACAGAGCTAATGCACTATAATAATCTAATAAATTCCCATAAATTTTATACATGAAGCAAAGATAGGGAAAACAAAACACTTGGTTTTCTTTTTTAATGTGATATGGATACTGTATATTCTATACATATATATAGTCACTTTAATCCAAAAACCTTTTGGTTGACAGTCTCACAGCACTTCTGGTTAGAAAATTAAGACTTTATTGCACAAATTGAATGGGTGATACAAATGCATTTCAGGTTATTGTAAATTTACAACCCTTCCTCAGAGATGTTTCATAGAGAAATAACAAAGTTTTCCACTTTCACATTCTTGTTTTCCATAAATATACATATACATATACATAAAAGATACATATATTATGTATATATTAATATACATAAATACAGGAATAAATAAAATATACATAAATAAATATGTATATATAAATATACATAAATACCTGTATATAATAAAATATTCTTTTATTTTAAATTTATCCAGTATTATGTATTCTGTTGTTTCTTTTTTACAATAAATGTAACTATATATAAGTTCTTCTAGTTAAAATAAATTAAGGTTCTATATGTATTATTGTACTTTGTGAAGAATCATTGTGTGATAAGTATATATATACTTATCACACAATGATTTTTCACAAAGTACAATATATAACCCAAAATGCATTTGTATAACACCTATTCAATTTGTGCAATAAAGTCTTAATTTTCTAACAGGGAGTGCTGTGAGACTGTCAACCAAAAAGTTTTTGGATTAAAGTGACTTCATATATATGTATACTTGGTTTTCTGTTTTTTCTGAACAAAAATATCCCAATTTAGTATACCAATAGAAATAAATGAAAGATTTAAAAATAATGAACACAGTATGAAAAATAGAGCACTCTACCGTTTACACGGAAATTCACTTATTCAGGCGATATTTTTATTAAAGTGGTGATAAAAACCCCAGTCCATTTGTTTTGACATTCGGTGTGAAATTGGATCACAAATCATACTTCAGGGGAAAACAGCAAAATATTGAGCTTCCATACAATGGGAGTCCTGTGAACCACACACTAGCAATTTCTTGATGTCATGTGGCAAGTTCAGGCAGAAAAAAAATGTGACGTTGAGAACTAAAGGAAGTTTTGTGCAATGTCGCCCAGCATTTCCAGACGGGATATTTTATTGACTGACAGAAATTTTGGGGATTTTTTTTGGGATGACTTTTTTTTCCACTTTGATCTTTTTTCTGTAGACTAAAACAAAATTTTTGACATAACAAAGCCTGTGAAATATTGTTTAAGCATTGTGATCGAATGTGTTATTCGGAATTATTCGTTAAAAAATTATTCAAAAATGATTGCTATTTCTAACAAGGGGAGGGCCAGATGTTTGGGTCTCCTATTGGAACGAAACTTGGTGAGCCGTTTCATTCGAACAGGAGACCCATTTCCAGTTTCTAGGTGTAACTTACTTTACTAGTGTATATTGTATTTAATGTATATAATGCAATGTATTTTTAATTTTATGTAATTGTTGTCTTTATTTTTACATATGTTTGTTAGTTTTGGGAGGTAGATATCAACATTATCAGCACAAAACCTTTCTCACTAATTTCTAGCCGTATTAACAGGAGTACAAACGTTTTCAGCCTTCTTAATAGGCCTTTCTCGGGTACACTGTGGAGCTTCGGTTAGAAGTTTAAATGCTGCCAATGTTTACCCAGGTATCGTCTTACCAGTGACGTCATCGTCGATGATAGGTATAAACAATACTGAGGGCAAAAATACATACTTTTGGTAAAGAAGGGAGGTGTGCAGATAGGATACTTGCTAAAGTTGGGGGAAAAAATAACATACTTTTGGTAAAGAAGGGAGGTGTGCAGATAGGATACTTGCTAAAGTTGGGGAAAAAATTTTTAAAGTAAGCGTGCTACATACAGGAGATGCACAATCACTACAGGGGGTTAGTGGGGAGTGACGTCATAGTTGAGGCCGTAAATATTCAACGATACAGTAAGAAGAGGCGTGCGAACGACCGTGGATGGAAGGGGGTTACGATTAGAAGGCAGAATGGGAAATAAACGCGACAAGTAAAAAAGAGCGCTAATGGTTGCACGCGGTGAGGGTGAGATGGTCTATTTATTTCAAGGGGTTGTCGAAGAATGATTTCCAAGCGGAGGAGAGCGAGTCTACATCTCTGCTGTTGATACAACCGTCTTTGAGGGATTGCTTAAATATTTCAATTGTTTCGACTGTTCTAAGCTTGGTGTGGTCATGCATAGGAATAGTAATCCTCGCCTCTTCCCATTTGGTCGTTATACCAGGTTCGCTTGCAAACTGGGCAAGGGTGGATGTGAATTTTTTGTTGTATGCGTCGTACTTGTGCTCAGTTATCCTCCGTTTAAGTGATCTATTGGTTGAGCCAATGTATGTTAGCTTCTTGCATGGGTTAGATCTGCTGTCCTCCAATGGGACGGTGTAGACTCCTGGTCTCCTGGCTTCTCTGCATTTGTCCTTGGTATTAGCTAGAAGTTTATAAATCGTAGGGTTGCGTCTGTATGCAAAAGTAGCATTGACCTTTTTTGCTATGAATTTAAAGGCCTGGCCCATTCTAGGGTCAAAATCGACGGTAATGCGCTTACCTTGTTGCTTTAGAGGTTTGGAATTGACATCTCTGGTTGTTAAGCATCTATGAGTTTTTTGCGCAAGCCTATCAATAAACTTACTGCTGAAACCGTGGGCTGTGGCGATGCGCTTGATGCGTTGGATTTCTCATAGCGCATCGTTAATGCTAGAGCAATGGGTAAAAGCTCTGCGGATAAGAGCCCTGAAAGCGGACATTTTGTAAGTAAAGGGGTCATTTGAGGTTGCAGGGATAAACAAAGATTGAAGATTAGGCTTATGGAACACACTTGTAGTTATGCAGCCATGATTCAAGAAGATATTGAGGTCCAGGAAATGGGCCATCTTGTCATCCTGCTGGTCTAACTTAATCTTAAGTCCAAAAGGATTGTTCTGCACACCTCCCTTCTTTACCAAAAGTATGTATTTTCGCTCTCGGTATCGTCTATACCTATCATCGACGATGACGTCACTGGTAAGACGATACCTGGGAAAACATTGGCAGCATTTAAACTTCTTCTAACCGACGCTCCACAGTGTACCTGAAGAAGGCCTATTAAGAAGGCCGAAAACGTTTGTATTCCTGTTAATACGGCTAGAAATTAGTGAGAAAGGTTTTGTGCTGATAATCTTAGAAATAGTTCTAGCTACATATGCATAGTAATGAGGTAGATATCAACCGTCCTTCGAGACTTTTCTATTTACTTGTAAAAATAAATAAATAATACAATATGCAATCTGTATAAATATGTTTGTTAATTACAAAATTGTTCTTTTAACTCGTAAATTTAAGTAATATATTTTAAGAAATGATTAACTCATTTCTTAAAAAAATATTATTTAAATTTACGAGTTAAAAGAATGATTTTTTAATTAACATATTTACACAGATTACATAACATTTATTTATTTATTTTACAAGCAAATAGAAAAGTCTCTAAGAACAAGTTGATATCTACTACTAAAATTAACAAATATAAGTAAAAACGGACAACAATTACACAAAAAAAATTATAAAAGGTCTTTGGAAGAATTTGTTTTTGAAGAACATGCATTTCTTTCATGTGATTTGTTAACTGTTCTGACAAAATTATTAACAATGGTATTTTCTTTTCCTAAGTTGGAAATAACTCTTAACTCATAGTTCATAACTTATAACTTATACCTCATAAGTCTTAACTATATTTATATTTATCTATATTTTACCAATATTTACAAAAAAATAAATAAATAAAATCTGCCAAATCATATGCTTGCTAAGCATGCATAAATTTTTAAGTTTCTGTTGCCCAGTTGTTGTGTACCCATTTACTATATAATAATTAAATAGCTCAAAGTATAAATCTTAGTTATAAACTGTAAGCACACAAATGTATAATATGGTAAAGTAGGTTAAAATACTAGTTTTGTTAAAAAGATAATTTAATAAGTTTCACTTTATCACGTATCAATTAAATAAAATTAATGATGAGATTTGCCTTGTGTCTGAGTGAATACACTATATTCAAATTGCAAAAGTTTCACTTTAAATTAGCAGCTGCAATTTTTGAAAGTACCAAAGATAAAATTTAAGATGACTACCACAAAAAACAAGTATTTGTAAAAACAAATTTGTTAGATTGAGAAATACAAATGTCATCAACTTTCTGCAATATACTTTTATAGCATCAGCTATAATTCTGCATGATCTAACTTATTGATATTGATATACCCAGAAATGTTATAGTGGGTTCTGCTTGCATATATTTAAATTAATATACTATATACATGTATAATTTTATTTTAAAGTAAACTGAATATTAGCAGGAATTGTAAAATTGTTGTGATACCAACAACTCTGCTCAAAATAGAACATTAATCCAAAAACACTCTTAAGTATTGGATTGATGTTCACAAAAGAATTTTTAAAGACTTATCATCTCAGCTCAGGATCCCCAACTAAGAATTGGGATCTGAAACTTTGATAAGGTCTTGAAAAATATTTCATCTGAATAAATTTGACTTCTAAAATCTTGTGCAAATTTTGTTTTGGGTTGATGTTTAGCAGGAATTTATTGAATATTTCATTTTTGTTTATATTATTTTTCTTATTCTGAAATATCATACATTTTTTTCTTTTATTTTAAATGTTAAATTNATTTACCAGATAGCATATTAATAGAAAAGAATTATCTTTATAAAAACAAAAAAAATTGTATTTTGTCTATTGTTCATCTCTTATTTTGTGGCCCAGATGTTTGGCTCTACAGGCACTAAGAAGGTTTTAACATGAATTTGGTCATGCCGGGATGACTAGAGATAATAGAGAGGTTGCTGCCAATGTTTTCATCGCAAAAATGTATGTCAGCTGCAACCTCTCTAATACTTGACATATCTAGGACAGATCACCCACTTGAAAAATTCCTGGGATTTTTTGACCTGTCTGGATTCGATCCCAAGGCTCCCAGAAGACTAATGCCTTATTGCCTAGTCTCTGGCTGGCAGATTCTGCAAACTACCAAAGGTTGCTTTAAATTGTACCATTGTTTCACAAAAAACTGTCCTTTTGCTATAATATCATAATCACTTAATACTATCATCATTAGGTTCACACTAATAGTTTCATTCGATTCAAATGCCTCCTCATGCGTAACTTTTTTGCCAATGATTGCCAACTTAACTTATGCCACCCTTAATGGATGTAACAGGCAATAACAAGAATGGCCAGCTCGTAGTATTGCCAATCTACTTACAATCCTTTTTGCGAATCTTCATTTTGTTTAATCGCCCAGTGTAAGAAGTTTTCATTTAATTTCATAATACAGAAAAGTTTAGATTATTCATATTCTATAGGTAAGACCAACATCTAAATATTTCAGCAATCCAATCTAGGCCAGTATAGTATTCGTGGAAAATTAGAATGCAAAAAGCGAAAAATTTATGTACTTAATTTGTAATTTATTTAAATATGTCAAATGTATTTTTATTAGAAATAATAAATAATAATATAAAAATAAATTTGACATTTTTAAACTATAGTAGACCTGTTATTGCTGTTATTTAAGTAAGATATCACTAATTCACTAATCACAAACTCGTTAAGATGTTAATTATAATAGAAATTGTCATTCATGCATGATGTTTTTTAAAAATTCGAAATGGACCTTGGGAATAATTACTAAAAATTATTTGTTCATAACAGAAAAAATGTTATATCTGATTTTTTTCGAAATTTTTCTTTTCCTCATCATTTTAAATTATTTATTTTACCAGGAGAATTTGTCTTATGTTATTAAATATTTTCATTTTATTACTTCTTATATGTTATCTATGAAATGTTATCTATTTTTCCCCATTACATTGTGGAGTTTTTACTTCATCAATTGTATAAAACCTATTTTACTGTACACTAATGTATATTTACTTCCAGTTATTGGGATGTTTAATAAAAATACTCAACAAAATAGAAAAGTAGGTTGAAAATATAGAATATCATCAAAACAAAATTTCAAAAAAGCATAGTTAATCTTGACAGTACAATGCTTGTCCTTATTACTTTTTTATCAGGACAATGCCAATTATTTCTGTTAGTGACATCTGATAGACTTTTAGCGAAAATAGACTAATTACAAGAAGAAATACAAAGAAATGCTGAACATTTGTACTCATTTGCATTCTGTTAAAATTATGCTATAACATCATCATTTTAACAGAATAAGTTCAGTAGTAATGAGGCAATTTATTCATAAGAAATACAGAAAATAAGACATAATAGAAACAGGGAAACAATCTTAACAACATTTAAGGCAAATTAAAATTCATAATAAATTTAATTTTTTTATAAATCATCGAATTTGTATATAAGTTTTCAGATATAAATTATCTATAATACCGTTTTTTTAATACTCTTTCCTCCCTGAGGGCATTAAGAAGGCCCTTTTTTTTTTAGCAAGCCCATTATGGGTTTGGCCAGGCCAACAATGGGAAGGCTGGATGATGAGGGATGCGATCTGGACAGATCCCATCTCTCACCAAAAATTTTCAGGGGTTTTTCACCCATTCAAACCTGGATACCCCAGAGCAGAAGGCTGCCATATGGTCATCTCTATAAGACTGTGAAGAAGACACATATTTACTGAAAAAATTTTATCACCTTTTGTAATTAAAAAATGAAAAAAGAAAATAGAACAAACTTACCTCCAAAAGGTATAATAACTGCATTGTGACGACAGGCCATTTTTACAATTTGCACAACTTCATTGTGATTATCTAACAAAAAAAAAATCATCATTCATTTTTAATCTACAAAAAAGAAGGAAAAAATATGATATAATTACCAGGCCATACGACAATATCGGGAATTCTTTCAAAATATCCTCTGTGTAATTTATACACTTCTTCCAATGTATGACCTAAAATTAAAAAATGTAATGTTCAAAGTTTTAATAATGTCTCTCTGTTACACAAATCCGAAAAAAAATTGTAAGATGATATTAACCTACAAAAACATTTCAAACATATTATAGCTACTTTAATCCCGATATTATAGTAGTTTTGTGTTATAAGTAGTGTGTATCAAAGAAGCGACATATCATATGACTGACTAGTAATATATAATTAAATGTATACAATATAAACCTTTTATTTAACTGACTCTTATTTAATAGACTTTGATTTAAAGGATAAAATTTTCTGTCTGAAAAAAAAAAAAATCTTAATTAGTTTTTGTTCCAGCATGCAAGAAGGTTGGGTCATAAAGCAATGAATATAAATTATACAACATACTGTACATTGTAATATTTTATTCATATATATATGTTAAGCTCAAAGACCAAAAATACCTCTTTAGTGAAAAAATTGACCACAGTGCAAATTTCGTGTTGAGATTCTTTTAATAAATCAATGCAATCTGGCAATGTGAAAGTGCCACAATGCATTGTAAACACTTATTAATTCAGCCATGATGCAATGTGATAAAATAATTGTGCAAAAATAAGTAATAAACAAATTTAAGGGTCAGGACAATATTTGAATTAAAATGTTCGAATTATTTAAGTTCTATTGTATTTATAAATATTTAAATATATTTAACTAGCACTCCTTTACAAATATTTTTTCATTTTCTTAGGTACTATTTCACTGATACGGTATTTATTTTATTCCTTTATTATTTCACTTCTTTGAAAAGAACCAGTTAAAATACATAGTATTCTCAATTTTATTGAAAATTAGCAACAATAAATTCTGTATAACAACTCATCAATACAATTGATATTGGTTTTCAGAATTTTTTAAAATAAATTTTCTAAGTGTCATCAATACAAGTTAACAACATTATATAGTGTGTCCACAAATTCTGGGTACATAAGGATTAACACATACTTTTAAATCAAAATAATATTTATTCTAATATTAATAAATAACATTTTCAATATGATTTCCATCATTTTCAATACATAATTTGATACACAATAATTTGTGGGCACCATTACCAGTCAGTGTGCTGAAATTGACAGCAATACAGACCTATTTAATCGAGTTCACCTGAATTTTGCAAGGCGCATCAAATTATGTATTGAAAATGATGGAAATCATGTTGAAAATGTTATTTATTAATATTAGAATCAAATAAAATTATTTTGTTTTAAAAGTATGTGTTAATCCTTATGTACCTAGACTTTGTGGAAACCCTGTAGTTTAATATGATTTGATGGGATGAGGAATGCAACACACGGGCAATCTGCCAATAGGGAATGCCTCCTGGGGAGGACTTTCTAAGGAAAACTGGCACCTATTAAAAGGTGCTACAAATGTAAAGAAAACCCGGAAAACTCCATGTGGCCAGCCTGCTGGTGGGACATGAACCCATAAGATACTAGTATTCAGTGGTTTATCCACTCGTCCACTGGTGTCCGTTATAATTTGATTGTGTTCTTTAATAGATTATAAAATTTGGATTGACAGTACAATAAATATTTATTCCCTTAAAGCATTATTTTTAAATTATTTTTTAAAAGAATAAATCTACTTGATATGTATTGGCCTACTTCAGGCACATTATGTTATTTTAACTAGTTTTCTATTTGAAATAGATTTCCATTTATATAGTGGGTATATATATCATTAACGGATTATAGAATTTCACAAAAGCTATTCCACAACTCTTGTTGCATGGAAGCCCTTTCTTTCTTAGATTCTAGATTAAAAATTAGCTATCAGATCATTTATGCACTGTCATTTATGCTATCTGACTATTTATTTGATACTTAAGTCTGACAAAATAAAGCTACGAAGCAGTAAGTAGAAGCACTGACTTAATGACATTTAGAAATTACTTAAAATTTCATCTTAAAAGAAGCAGTTAGCATAATTATGAATCAAATAATTTTATATTTTAGAGAGAAAAGAAAACCTGAGATGAAATATTGAAGTGCTAAAGAAGTATCAACGAATTGAAGTTTAAACATCAAATTTGTTAAAAATTAAACTGAAGGATAGCCACATGAAAATGGAGAAGGCATAAATCTTCCACTCAGGTTGAGCAGAGTAGAAGATTCATGCCCTTAGGAATGATTTTCGGAATTTTTCTTGTCTTTTAATGCCCATTGTGGTCTTGGCAAAATCCTTTAAGTCAATATTATAAAAATTCTCTTAATGCATTTAAGACAGAAAAAAACAAAAAAAATTGTTTTAAAAATAAAAAATTACATTTTCTCTCATTTTTATAAATCACGACTCAAAATAGTATAACAGTGTTTCTCAACTTTTTTCATCACAAACCAGTAAAATTATGGATAATTTTTTTGTGGACTAGCAATTATATGTGACTATGAATTATACTTATTTATTACGCTTATCATAAATATGTTTATCTAGATTACTGTACGTAATAAAGTATGTACAATAATTTTGTTTTATTGCTGCTGCTTTTCAAATGTTGATGCTTAAAAATTTACTAGCATATGATACATACGAGAGTAACAATTAGTAAAGTAGAAGAAATTATTGCTATTATCAAAAGCAATCAATTCTCATAATTTCGATGGACTTATAATTTAGGAAATCTTCAGATCAACTAACCTAAGATAAATTTAAATACAAAATTTTGTGCTATAAAATAAATATTTATATATAGATTTTACAAAGCAATACAGTATGTAGAATTTTTAATGTTACTTAAAAAGTTTAATGATTAAATGGACAGCAGGTTGGTAGGCACTACCAGCAGAATAACTTGCTGTACCAATATTCCATAATATCTTCCACACTGTATTTTGCTCTCATCTGAGTACCAGTATACCTACAGTACATATAATTTTTAGTGGCCAAATCACAAAATTTGGTATTTTGCTGTTGCTTTGAAGCTCGAACTGCAAGATGAGATAAAGGTCATGTTGTTGGTATGATTCATTACTGTACAATAAAGTGATTAAAATCATCCTACCAGGCGAATGATCTATGCCTGCCTGCAAGATGCTGTCCATTCTATCATTAACTAACCTTTAAAAATTCTTTAAATTGTGTACAGTAGAGGAACATAGAATTTTAAAAATGTGTTAGATCGATCACTCAGTGTGATAAATCCTTAAGTAAGATGATCTTTGTAGTTATATAAATCAAATACTATAATATATTATACTATATTATATTATATTTCATAGTACAGTCGACCCCCTATAACACTGTAGATACGTTACGTTCTTTATGAAATTGATGTTCTATGAGTCCTTAAATACTTGAGCCAATCACAGCCCAGCACGTATGCAGTTTACGGACTATGGCTGTTTGAAAGGTTTTCTTCCATAAAATTAATCGATTCTAGACTAATTTGACTCAACATTTCCAAGACATGTATAATTTTTTGGGAATAATTCATATAAACAATGCTATAAATAAAAAATTGTAGGATTACTTACCGAGTGTGCACCATTCGACGACGCCATTGCTTAAGCTTGTTTTCATTGTGGAGCAGCGCATCAAATGGGGGCACGTGTGTTTCTGATAAATGATAAATTATTTTTCTGCGAAAAATTTGCTGAACTTTGGAAACATCATTAACATAAATATAATTTTTATGGCCGTTAAATAATAAATGGTTTTTAGTAGGTCCGATGCTTGTTTAAACTCAACAGTTTGTGCAATATCCGCTATTGGTCTAGATTCGACCAATCCTGTCACGACACAAGTTGGTGATGACGTTTTACTGTTATAAAGTAGTCTCTTTTAGCATGTTTAAACAAATATGGTCGCAATTTTTTCGCCGTTATATACGAATCCAAATTATACGAACCCGTTTTATAGGGGGTCTACTGTATATAACAAACATTAAATCGAAAACCATATAAAGAGTTTGATTATTTTAGCCTACCATTGTCATATTTATCGCGATACTCAGATGGTATGAAATGGTACGATTTCATTGGTCAAACTGAAAATATTAAATTTTTAATCTTAAATTTTTTAAGATATTGTATTTTTTTCNATTGTCATATTTATCGCGATACTCAGATGGTATGAAATGGTACGATTTCATTGGTCAAACTGAAAATATTAAATTTTTAATCTTAAATTTTTTAAGATATTGTATTTTTTCCTAATGTTAACTCTAAGAAACTGTATACCATTCACAGTCAAATATCAAATGGCAATCTGCCAACAAATCAACTTTTGCAAAAAATGGACCAAATACTTACACTCAGCACCTTCAAAAACCACTGAAAACGTATCTTGTGTGACTGGTAACTTCGTATTATGTAATTTTCCTATTCGAATGCCACCAATACTGCTGGGTCCAATAAAAAGAAGGAATATTTAGGAAGGGGGTTGAAGTAATTCGACCAAAAGTAGTCATTGACCTCCTCCTGGAAGAGGGAATGGTCAACAACTACTAATTAATTCTGGCCAACTATTAATTAATATTTGAAAAGTGATCTGTGTTGGATAGGTTGTGATGGTCCTGCATATGATTGAAGTTGCTAACCTTAACGTGCGAAAAGCGTCATATGACTTGTTTAAATAAAAAAAATCTTACAAAATGTGAAAATAATTGCTTTTATGTGATAATAAAGTGTTTATGCTTTTGCAACAGAGCCATTCTTGGGACAAGACTATGTCTCAGAGAGCGCAAGCAATGCAGGCACAAATCTCACACTTACGCCTGTTTGTAGAAAGTTTCACAATTTTCTATTTTATTTTGACCCAGTTCTCGATCCCCTGACTACCTACAAGTCTGGTTTTTTTACATGTGCATGATTTGGGCACCAAATACTCTGTGCCAAATTGCAACTCCTGACATGTACTCCTTTGTGCCTCTAAGGTACCTTAGAGGTATGAAGCCATTGACAACAGTGCGATTTTAGAGATGAGACGTAGTCTCATCAATTACGTGGGAAGTATGTCCTCATAAATACCGCATTTATAGAAAAATTATTAAATTAGTTTGGTTTGTTTGGTTACAGCAATGCGACATGTGAGTGATCGGCCAAGAAGGATGCATGTAGGGAAGACTTGAAGCTGGTCCCTATTTACATGTTACTAACATGAAGAAAACCCGGAAAACTCCATGTGGTCAGCCTGCTGGCCATGTCTGAACCCATGACTGACTATTGGTGTTCGTTGCTTTTATGGTATGCAGTGACATTTGATTATAGAAAAGCTGTGCCGCCCTGGATAAAGCATTGAAAGCATTATATGATATTTTGGTGTGTAGCATCCACTAGCTAAACCGTGAGGTTGGTGCTCTGTAAAGAAGTTGAGGTTGGTGCTCATATGCAAATGTGTGTAATCTGGATGCTTTACATGATTCAAATATTTTCACCTTGGAAGCTGTCCCATATTTGACAATATAGCACTTCCATTGGGAATATGCATATATGAATTTATATTTGAATATACAATAGCAATCTTATCATTGTCTTTCACATGTACAAAAATTTGTAATAAGATACATAATGCGGTTATAATAAAATATTAATTTTAATTGATTCAAAGTACGTTAAAATATGAAAATAATCGCACAATATGTATTTATATTTTAGAAAATACAAGGGAAGAGATGCTTCTGTAGACGGCAGCTACTGGAGGCACTTTTTAGAATTAAGAAAGTACTATTCAGAAATGAAAAAACCCGAGTTGTTAGTGTGGAAAATAAATACTTAGACTTTTCACAGTGGAACACTTTCAATTCCACACAGACAAGTGCTATGTGCTACCTGTCACAGTAATTAAGTAAATATATATATATTTATTCACTTTAAAGATATATATATATATATTTAAAAATTATATCTATTTTAAGAATTATTTTTAGTTTATTAATTTCTTAAACTTTTTGCCAATAGATGGTGCTACAAGTAAACTCATCAAAGGGAATATGTACAGAAATTAATTGATATATAGAAATCCAATCATTATTTTGGGGTGATATTTATAACATTATCTAAGTTAGAAGTATGTTAAACATAACTACAGAGTTAGCAATTGGTTGAATTGGCCTAGGTGTGTATAGCAAACAAACAAACATTCTTATATATATAGACTATGTAAGTTCTACATACCATGACAACGAAAGTGTCTGTCATTTCCATTTAAACTGTAAGAAATGTTAGTTGAAAGCAAATCATTCATAAATTCTTCATTGATTATAGGAGGAGGAATATCTTCGAAACTTAATTCCTGTAAAAAGATTTTTAATTAATATTTATTTCAATTAATAAATCAAATATCAATAATTTTTACATATTAATTGAATGGATGAAACTATTACTCTTTAAAGAACCATCTCTACATGCAATAAGGCATTCATTTTTACTTTCCTGGCTGTTATGTATATATAACAAGGGAAAGTATTAAAATCATGTCCAATTTGATCCTCCGAATTTTTTGCAAATCTTTATGTTTTGAGACCTCCTGAACCTCAAAAAGTCAAAAAAGAGACAAAATTTGGTGCATGTATGTATTAGCGTCTATTTTGTTTAATATCTCAGGATGAGGAATGATTAAGAAATGAAGTTTGACATGGTAGTTTATGTATAACGGGCATTTATGACATTAAATTTTGGTGGTTAAAGTCAGGGGGTTAGGAAATAGAGAGGAGCTGAATAATGAACGTTTTTACTCATTATTAGCATTTACAATTTAAAAAAAAATTAAATTATAAAATTTTATAAAATTAATCTTTTTAACTTATATTTTTCAACATTTAGTATTTTGAAAAAAATTGCTAATATATCATAGTAATTCAGGAAAGGGCATTTAAATGATTTAAATGTATTCATTTAATTTTTTCATCTACTTTTATATATCTTCAACAATAAATCCAAATTTTTATATAAAGAGTAAAATCAAACAGAATCTATTATATGGAAACAAGTAAGCCTATAATATAAACTTGGAAAAGACTACATGGATAACTACTTTTGTGATAGCAATAATTAGAATAATCAACACTTTGCTGTATTTAGTCATCAGGATTCTTTTTGTAGGAGATAAAATTTCAGTTATTATTATTTTTGATTTTGCTGATAATTTTCTAGTAATAACAAATAGAACTAAAGATTTTTAGAAAATGACATCCAACAGGAAAATCACTTACAAAAAAGTATGAAATTTTCCTATTATTATATTTTATAACATACTGAATGTGATGATATATATAAGATTAACTCCCGTTTTAACAGCAATATTCGAAAGACATTTTTAATGTATCTAGCATTTAATAAATTTTTTCAACTTATATGGAATGATAGAATAAATCTGTATGTAGAGAATAAATAAATAGATGAATTAAGTGCAAATGAACCTATACACTGATGATAATTTTTCTTAACATTTTTCAGAATAATTGCCCTATATCTCCTCAGATAAGACAATAGTTAAATCATAAAAAAAAAGCCCCAAAATCTGGGGTCTTCTTATAAGACAGATACAAAAAAATTAGATTGAAATTTATATAAATTAAAACCATTATAACTGTAATTACTAGAAGAGAGTAGGGTATGTGTGCAAAATAGAATAGCCCATACAACGTTTTTGCAAATAGTCAAGGTGCTGAATCAGTGCCAATGTTTGCAACAATCGCAAGGCGGTGCTGCCAGATGCAAGAAAATTTGTTCATTCAAAAAATTACAAATAGAACATAATTCCGTATATGCTATATGGTATTATTATTCAGATGATGATCGCTGATCTAAACTAAATTCATAGGCCGCTGATAGTTTGGGGATCATCTTATAGGACAGATATATGCTAAAACTATAAAACTTTGATGAAAATTTATACCTCATCTTATCTGTCGAGATGTACAGTAATCTATACTAATATTATAAAGAAGTAAAGTTTGTAAGTTTGGATGTAGGAGGTAATCTCCAAAACTATTCATCCAATTTCAAAAATTCTTTCATCAATATTTAGAATGGACCTTCAGGGTGGACATAGGCTGTATATTATTCCATTAAACATTCATATAAATCAAAAGATATCATCTAGGTAAGCGTTATATTTTTGGTATCAGCAGATGGCGAGGGGCAAGACACTATGTATACGAGATAGGTAACCGCGCAGTGCAGTCACGTGGTCGGTGAGATACACAGTGCATGTGTCTGAACTTGTATNTATTATATTTTATAACATACTGAATGTGATGATATATATAAGATTAACTCCCGTTTTAACAGCAATATTCGAAAGACATTTTTAATGTATCTAGCATTTAATAAATTTTTTCAACTTATATGGAATGATAGAATAAATCTGTATGTAGAGAATAAATAAATAGATGAATTAAGTGCAAATGAACCTATACACTGATGATAATTTTTCTTAACATTTTTCAGAATAATTGCCCTATATCTCCTCAGATAAGACAATAGTTAAATCATAAAAAAAAGCCCCAAAATCTGGGGTCTTCTTATAAGACAGATACAAAAAAATTAGATTGAAATTTATATAAATTAAAACCATTATAACTGTAATTACTAGAAGAGAGTAGGGTATGTGTGCAAAATAGAATAGCCCATACAACGTTTTTGCAAATAGTCAAGGTGCTGAATCAGTGCCAATGTTTGCAACAATCGCAAGGCAGTGCTGCCAGATGCAAGAAAATTTGTTCATTCAAAAAATTACAAATAGAACATAATTCCGTATATGCTATATGGTATTATTATTCAGATGATGATCGCTGATCTAAACTAAATTCATAGGCCGCTGATAGTTTGGGGATCATCTTATAGGACAGATATATGCTAAAACTATAAAACTTTGATGAAAATTTATACCTCATCTTATCTGTCGAGATGTACAGTAATCTATACTAATATTATAAAGAAGTAAAGTTTGTAAGTTTGGATGTAGGAGGTAATCTCCAAAACTATTCATCCAATTTCAAAAATTCTTTCATCAATATTTAGAATGGACCTTCAGGGTGGACATAGGCTGTATATTATTCCATTAAACATTCATATAAATCAAAAGATATCATCTAGGTAAGCGTTATATTTTTGGTATCAGCAGATGGCGAGGGGCAAGACACTATGTATACGAGATAGGTAACCGCGCAGTGCAGTCACGTGGTCGGTGAGATACACAGTGCATGTGTCTGAACTTGTATATTATATAGATGTCAAAATTCCCCCCACGGGGGAGATGGACAAAATTAAGGCTTACTGTGAAGAACTCGGCTTCTATTATATCATTTTAGATGAGGTTTTTTGCGTTTTTAATTGTGTTTTAATAGGGTACGTCAAGAAGATGTACACTAAGAAGGGATTTTTTGAAATTCTCTTCCACAGGGACTGTTATTCATTTATAATAGATACATTTTGAGCCACAGCAACGTGTGGCTGGGTACAGCTAGTTACTTCGTAAAAACAAACTCTCATAATGCCACAAAATTTGATTACTTAACATTAATACTATTCCCTTCCCCCATTTTAACTTAACCACCAATGACTGAGCAAAAAATACCACTGAACACTGGTAGTAAATTCGCACCTCGTCAACAGGCTGGCCGCTTTTAATTTCCAGGTTTTCCACATGTCCAACATCTAGAGAGCAGTTTCCCATAAAAGTCTATTAAGGTACTCTCTCTTTGGCAGATCGCCCACCTGTTGCATTGCTGTGGCGCACCCAGGGGGTGAGCCAAAGGGTCACGGTGCTTCCAAAATAAAAGGAAAAGAAATACTAGTAAATTTTCCAAAAATATTTTTATAATTAAAATTCATTTTTTATTTATATTGTGTTGTATGTTCTATTTCTATATTACTCATGAATTAGTGGTCACACAAGTTAGGAATTTTATTGAATTTGCATTAAAAGGTAAAAATCTTTTAATGCAAATTTTTATCCTTTCAGCTTGGCTCCCCAAGATTAATCTTGAGTGCACCACTGTTGCATTGTCTAATCTTATCAATCTATTTTTTGATTTTCTGCTCTATCAGCACTAAAAGGGTCTTTTAACCATGCTTATCATTAGATTGGGCAGGTCCACAATGGGGTCGGTGAGGGAAAGACCACAAATCACAGACAGACTACCTACTTATGCCAGTTTGATTTTTTGAGTTGGAATTTTTTCAACACTGGAATTCGAGCCCAGGATGGCAAACCTTTTTGGGTCCGAGTCTAAAGTAGATACACATAGATATATTTAACTTTAAAAAAATAAATAAATAAATAAAATAGAATAAAAAATAGAATTAAAATAAACTGAAATCTATGTATTTCAAAATAAACAAAATTTGATAATACTGTATATTGTGTACCACATTGGACACATGTGCCCAATGTGGTACACAATATATCGTCACCACACCTGTAGTAGTGTGGTGAATTAATATGAACAACTGTATTTAGATGGTTTTAGAGTCAGTTTCTTTTATATTCACAAAATATCGATGAATTGAATAAAAAAAAAGTCCAGCAACAAGTTGCCTAACTTTCCCTCTGACTTTTAAAACTTAGTTTGGCACCATTTGTATATTTTATTTAAAAACTTCTCATATTTTTAATTATTATAAAATGGCAAAAGGCATAATTTTGAGGGTAGGGATGTGTTTTATAAAAAACTGTTAATGCTAATAACGAATAAAATCATTATTAGCATTTACAATTCAAATAAGTCCAACCCTACTCGAGATATGACACATGACCCCTCTTTATCTTCCCACCCCGTTGACCTTTAACAACTAAAATTTGATAGCATCAATCCCTCTAATAAACCTCCTGCAAAATTTCAGAAATTTTCAACAAAGAGCACAGGAGTTAAGCTTCAAAGAGGGTGAACAAAATTATGACTCCCACACACATACACAAACATTCCTACATATAGAAAAAATTCCAGAATTTCTTTGCATTTCTCAACATTTCAAGATCCCCTTCTTGGTCCACAAATATAAAAATCTGGGGGTTTATTTTTTGACCAATCACCATACTTTCCCTGTGTTATATATAAAGAGCAGAAAAGTAAAAATGGTTATTGAACTGAGTAAAAACAACATGTATGGAAACTGTATCCAAATTGTACTTAATGTTGGTGTTCTTTTTATTTTAGTCAATTTTTGTATATATATATATTATTAGCGTGTCCTTATTTTCCAACTTCAAAATTTTTGAACGCTCACCTGCACATTTTTTTCATTTCACTCAAAAACATGTCCAATTTAATTTCTTGGCAATCGATGAATATTAACCCATGCCGACTTTAGCGTCAATGTGCCAAAAACAAATCTGGATGTGCTGCAGCTTTGCTCAGGGTTGGACTGGTCATTACACATGGAACACTGTCAGTATGTGTTCAGTTTACGGCCATGTTAGATGTATTTGTGCGCCTTTACAATAACATTATGTTGTATTAATTACACAGTCCAAGGTTAGTGTGTCTTTGTTAGGAAACGTAAAACGCCAAATAATTGGAAGCAAACTGTCGTCAAATAGAAAACTGCTGGCTGTATTATTTTACAAGAGGTTAAGCTTACTATAGCCGTATCAGGCATGGCCAACATATGGCCCGTGGGCCGGATCCGGCCCGTCTAATGAATTTATGTGGCACGTGATCAATCTTTCAATATTAGCTACTCAAGTCTGAATATCTCAATGAAAAAAAAGTCAACAACTCACTGTGCATTTAGAGTTAACCCTCCATTACAAATCTTGTAAGTACAGCGTAGAATGTTGATAAAGCATGATAATGTGAAAAATGTATCTGTAATCTCTATCTACAACTTAGTCTCTACAGGGTGACACCACAATGAGATCTTGCACAACCTCAAAATCTTCCTAGGGCAGCCTCTGGTTCGGCCCATAGAAAAAGTTTTCTTTTCAATTCAGCCCGGGGGCAAAAACTGTTGGCCACCCCTGGTCTAACTTGTAAATGAGAAAACGAATCTTGTAGTTCGTGAGTGCATGATCTTTTGGGATATGCAAGAAACTCAATGGATGGCAAGAGCAATTTATTCATAACTTTAAAATGTTTCTCTAAGGTCAGAACTTAAAATTTCCTCTTTTCTGATGGATAGTTTATGTGATACATCTCCTAAGTGCAGTGTAGCTGTAAATGCCCATAATCAGGATCTCTGCTTCTTGAAGTCATTGAATTCATATGAAGTGATAGATACAACCATTTCTTCAGCAGCTTTAAAAAAGCATAGCCAAACTTGTATTTATCCAAAGAACTGCCAGTTCTATGTCTCTTTGATGATGATGTTGACTTCAAACCAAAAGTAAAAAGTTGGTCAATTTGGGCAGAGATCATCGATGTATGGGGAGGAAATTTATTTCTCTGCGTGAAGAAATGGATATCAAATTATTTGGCAATTTTTAATTTATTTTTACTGTAATACAGGCCTGACCAACCCAAATTGTTTCACGGGCCACTTTGATCACGCATAACATTACGGTGAGCCACAATTTAGGCAAACATGCTTTTAAAAAAGTAAAACAAATACAAAACGAATAAGATTTTATTGTTATACCAAGAATTCATACTCGCACTTGCGCATTATAACAATGACACATGCAAATTTTCATTTATTTAATTGTTTTGGTATACACATAACGGGAAACAAAAGTTTTAATAGATATATGATATCACTTAGTGGGCCATACAATTTAACGGGCCGCATGCAGCCAGGCCTGCTGTAGTAGCATACTTTTATTTACCTTGTCTTATTGATTTGTTTCTCATTTTAGAGAAAACAATTGATGACTTTGTATCAATTCAAAGTAAAGGATATTTTTCTTGGCTATAAATGAATACAAGTTTTCTCTAGGAATGTCTTTCAATGTAGAAAAACAACACTTCGTATTTAGAAGCTCAAACAATAGTTAACATGTTAAGAGCTGTAAATGACTCTGCTGAAAGAGCTGTTAAATTATTGCATGACTTTCATGGATTATTGACTATGAATTAAGAACAAAAGGAGTTTACATTACNTTTTTTTTTTTTTTTTTTGCTCTTCGCCATGGGGTAATATCAACTTACACAAAAATATTTTGGGGTAATGATTAAAAAAGTTCCCCGACCGCTGCATTACATTGTGTGCAAGACCATCGAAGGCTATATCCAGATTGCAAAAAAGAAAGTATACCCAGTAGTTTCTAATATTGTAATTGAATGTTAGACATTATCAAAACCTTAATAAAATGTTAAATTTCTTAGTTATTGACTTTTTACTGTTGTTTAACTTCTCCATGCCAATCATTCATCATATTCAAGTTTCATGCTCAAGTTGGCACGGGTTAATATCCTATCGAAATTAAACTTCGTATTTGAGTAATTCTGACCAAATGTACAAAATTTAGTGGGTGGGTGCAGACATTTTAACAAAAAAATTTTTTTTATCAAAATAAAGGATACCCTAATATATATATATTAAATAACTTATATTAATTATCATACATAACTAGTGTATGTATCCTGTAGCTAGCCTTCATGTTTTGATTTAATGAATTACACTTATGTTAACAATAAACTTAATTGAAAGCTACAAATAATTTAATTACAAATTAACTCATTTATGACTTATTAATCAAATTTTAGTAAATTATTTGTCAAAATGAGAATTTTTTTTTCAAGTTAATGATTATTATATTTTTATTATAATGAAATGAAAAGATTATCTATATATAAAAATTACCTGGCCGTTTTCACATTTATCAAAGTCAACATTTAACACTTCTTTCATCCATTTTGGAAAATTAGGAAATATTTTATTACTGAAGTGATATCTAAAAAATTTAAATCATTAGTTAATAATAAGTTAATTTGTATGGGATTATGTAAATACAGTCAAACATAGGGTTTTACTAATAAAATTAATAATAAATAATAAAATAATAATTAAAACTCTGGCCTTTACACCGAAACTAAAAATAAAATCAAAATTAATTAATTAATTAAAATTTAAATCAAATCGATTAAACAATTGAACAAATTGGTTTTCCAACAACTTTTAGGAACGAATTACATTCAAAAACCGAGGTTTGATTATTTATTTTGATAATTTTGTTATTCTTATTAACGAATATGAATTTCATATCCATTGATATTGAATAGACATTCGTTATATACGTTTTTCTTTAACTATTTTATTGGGCTGCAATTTGATAAAATTGTAGACTTAAAAATTACTATTGTCGTCTGTCTGTCCTTCCTTAATATCGAGAATGAAGTTAGATGAAAGCTGAGACAAAATACAGAAAGCTTAGGGGGCCCTGATTAACTACAGTATATATGAACTTCGAGCAAACGAGAAATCATGTTATTTCAATTAAAAAATTTTCTCCTGAAAGGTTTTAGATAGATGACTGGCATGACTCTATTGCTAACAGGATAAGTATGATGTACAAGGGCAAGTCACTACTAATTTGAGGTGAAAAGCATATATTTTAAATTAAATAAATTAAAAATTGCAGCCTGTCATTATGACGATGTCACAATAAATAATTGCACATTGCACTTAATGAAACACATTTATAAATGCTTGTTATGCATTAAAAACTTAAATATATATTGCATAACATGAAATGTGAAGAGCACTTAATGATCCAACAAAAAATGGTAAAAAATCTTGGATTTCATCTGATTATGAAATGACTCTTTGAATAATGGAAAGAAATTATCCAAAGAATCATTTCACAACGTAATAGTTTAATAATACATTATGTCCTGGATATGTCGGACCCATCTCTCACTGTTCAGCTGCTCACATCGTGGCCGAATCCATGAAAGGCATAGAAAAGACCATTTAGTGTAGGGAGGAAAGAATTTTAAAAAATCAAGTTCAAAGGTTAAATATCGAAATAATTATAATTTTTTGACAAATCATTATTCAAACATTCTGCGATTATTTTTAGAAATAGAATTGCATAACAAATAAATGCCATATACATAATAAATAACTTATAATTTATATAAAAATTACAGCCATATTTAGCTAATCATTGTTTTCTATACTTTTAAAAAAATTTTTACTTGTCTCCTTTAAACATGCCATATTTTCCACCTTCTTCTAAACGCACACCACAGTTTTTGTATCCCCATCCATTCCATTTTAACGCTTCTTGTCTAAAATAAAAGAATCAAATAAATTATTAAAAACTGTATATATATAAATACATACACACATACATAATTTCATATAAAATTTCATTTTCATCAAATTTTCATAAAATATTATCTTAATAATTTCTTTATTTTATCAAAATTATGTAATGTAAGTCTAATCCTATCGATACAGAGAAATCTTGATTAACGAACTTAATCCATTCCATGACTTCGTTTGTTAACTGAAGCAATTTTTCCCATAGAAATTAATGCAAATACAATTTATCCGTTCTAGCAGCCAGTATTTTTGTAATTTTATTCGTAAAATGAGTTTTCTTTGATGAAAATATAGGAAAACACACTCATAAACAGTCAATCTAGGTTAACTTTTCAGAAAAGGGGAAAGATTTGATAGGTATAAAAACATCGCATATAATTGTTAAAGTTTCAAAATGACAGAAGAAACAACAGGGTAAATTATGAGCACGAGGCTTTATCAACAATCTCCGATCGAGCTTTATCAACAATCTCCGATCAGACTTGATGAACAGGTGTCAAATAGACGCCTTGGAATGGACCTTTCTCATGAAATGATCTGGTTTCGGTTTTCACCTGGAGACAAAGAAGAAAACAATCGGAAAATGTGGAATGGGATGCAAGACCAATTAAAAGGTGAGATTCAAGGAAGAAATACTATAAAAACACTGAATCTCAAGGTCAAAACACAGTTCTCCTAAAAATTCTACGGCAATTAATCTGTGTCATCTTCATCTGGATTAAGCCTAAAGTTGTGCCCGCTAAAATTCATGTTGAAACTCACGGACCACTCCAGTTGCCGCAGCTCCATCACCTACCATTGCTTCTGTGATCGAGTGAACCCATCTCGTCTGCTCTGGGGCTATGACTGATCAGCTTGCACTATCATAGGACCAGCAATATGCTACTCCTCAGTGCCGGGAAAAAATACTATAGATAAACCATTTCCAACTTCCTCAAATATGTAAGCATCTTCCCGTTCTAATAAATGATTTTCACTGTAAAATACTTCTCATCTTTGTCTCCTCCGTCACCACCAATGTACAAATGGACCCTAGACCATCACCGACGTGCGATTAACTGATCCCCCCCTAAAAGTCAGCAAGCTTACAAATTTGACACAAAAAACTGTTAAGTTCATTATCCAAATTTCATCAGTTATCCAAGACAAAATTTTTGCAAAATAAAAGTTCGTTAACAGATTTGGTCGTTAACTGGGGTTCCACTGTATATGATTTACAATTTTTCACGATTACAACAAATATACTTTACTGTATATAGAAAATATTTTATAAGTCAAAAATAAAATTTAAAAGTTTCTATTTGCACATATTTTTATATGTATGTATGTATAATTATGTTTTTTATTTCTATCAAAAAATTTATAATTTTGATTTACTTGATATTATGCTGTGGAATAAACACTTCTCTTATCATTATAATTAAAATCAGTTATCAAGTCAAAAGAAAATATAAGAAATAAGTATAAATCATTGGAAAAAGAAGCCAAATTTTAATTTAAACCAAATTTTGTTTAAGAGTAAGTTTTTCATAATTAAAATTTTGCTGTCAATTTTATTTGATTTAAATTTTTAAAAATTTTAAAATTTTAAATTAAATTTAGAAAATCAACTGTTTTAATTTAGTGGTTCTCAATCCTTTTGAGTTAGCGATTTGCACAATTTTGATGGCACAACGAATGAGTCTGTGGTGCATCAAAGATGCTCTTATCTGTACAAACAAAAAGTAGTAATGTTAAATGTTAATGATCTGCACTTATATACAGTAATAACCCGAACTTATGCAATAGGTGGGACCGAGTGATAACCACATAAGTCAATTCGCATAAGTCAGGGTATAATTCAAGTCGGNATGCGATAATCCCACCCCAAAATATCTTTTGGATTTCTGTAAATCAATTAATTTCTATTTAGATTTGATTTTCTAATTTACACTTAGCGCCATCTATTGGCAAAAAATTAACAGAATAATAGACTAAATATAATTCTTACAAAAACATATAACTTTTAAAATATATATATTACATTCACTTAATTACCGCGACAATGATATAACGCAAAATAGACGCGCTATATCTTTACTGAGACAGGTATCACATAGCACTTGCCACTTCGATTTTTTTCATTTCTGAATGGTACTTTCTTAATTCTAATAAGTGCCCTCAAGTAGCCGAGTGGAGAAAACTACCAAACACCAGTAGTCGGTCGTGGATTAGGACATGCTATAATTAACATGAGTGCCTGTGACATTATAACATTAAGCATTCTGCTAAAAGTTAATTAAAATACATAGCCTTCACCTTAAATACTCAGCATTAATTATTAAAATTAGCAGATTTATAGCCTAAGTAATTTGCTACTAGAGGTATTGATAGATGTTAATTTAGATAAGAGATGGCACCTAATTATATATATACTGTATATCATGCTTTGGGTTGGTTAATTAAAATGAAAAATGTATTGAGTAAATTTATGTCAACCTCAGCCTGAGTTCTTTTATCAGTTCATTATTTTTGAAGAAAAAGTGATTCCATCAAATAATACTTTCCTAATGAATTTTTAGCATTTATCTTCCTTTTTATCAAAACTTCATAGATGTCCACAGGTATAGTGGATGTGTGATTGGCAGCTGAATAAAAAAATGTTTTATCTAAAAGTTTGTTTTTGATGTACTATAGTCAGAATCATAATATGCAGTAAAAATTGGAGATTCCCCAATTCAGAAAATGAAATTGACCCCATTGTCATCAATTGACGCTTTACCTGTTTTACATTCTTTTGCGGAGGCAAAAGAATGTAAAACAGGTAAAGCATCATCTGGTGTTAATGCCACAATCATAATATCACATTTTAAGTAAAAAAAAACTAATATAAGTTCATGGCCGGCGTTATTCACATTTAATAAATATAAATTCGACTATACAAAGATAAAACTTCGCATTTTGTCCTTCCTTTTCGCCGTTCACACCATCAGCAGTTTTGTGAATTATTTAAGGACTGCTGATGGTGTGAACGGNAGGTGGGACCGAGTGATAACCACATAAGTCAATTCGCATAAGTCAGGGTATAATCCAAGTCGGATGTATGTAAGCTAATAAATGTCTTTTTATTCATTCATGGTTACAAGAAATCACCACATTGAGTCTCTCAAGTCTCCGTAGATATAACAAACACAGAAATAAATAACATAAAATAAATTGTAGCTATGTGTCGATTCCGCACGACACGTCCAAACATGTAAGCTGAATAATGGTGGGGGGAGTGAGTAATCAAGAGTTGCGTGGCGCTCAAACAAATGATGAATCGACAAGATTTGAAAATCGCGTAACTCCAGGTTCGCGTAAGTCGAGGTATTACTGTAATTTTCTTTGAATAAACGTTATACATAAAATATTTGAGTGTTTTTTTCGGCATGAAACGCATTATTACATTAATTTATATGGAAAAAATTGTTTCGCATTACGAGTAAGATTCTGGAACGAATTATGGTCGTTAAGCGAGGTTCCACTGTATATTATACAATAATATTTTAAACTTATCCTCAAGTTCACTACAGACCTTGTTTTTAAGACATTTTTCATCATACATTTCATTAGAAATTATACTTGTAAAAATGTTCATCATCTTTAACCTGAAAGATTTTGTCATCCAACTTACGCATAAATTATATCATCTCCTATTAATCTATTATAACGTAATTTAATTTTTCTAGCATTCGTTAGCATATAATCTTAATTTTTTCTAATCATTCTAGTGGCTACAGAATAATCGTCATTTATAAAGATATTAGTACCTTTTAAATTCCTCATATTCTCATAAACTTTTATTTTATCTTCCAAATTCATCAGCATATAAAAAGTGTTTTTTGTAAGTGTGAAAACTTACCAACTCTACAAGCCTTCTTAATATTTACTTCAGAGACTTTTAAACAATCTTCAAACAAATTTTGCACCAAAACAGCATCCTCATCACTTCCATTATCTGGAAGACCAGATAATGGAAATCACCATGTTATTTCCTCTTTCTTTATCTTCCAATTTTAACAGTCTCTCAAATAAGTTTAGATTACACTTTTTTATGTCTTCGAATAATTTACTATTGTTTAAGCTAGTGTAACCATTTTTCTTATCCTCTTCAAAGTACCGAGATCTGAGACTCCAAATCTACAAGTGCTGTATCGATGTTTTCTATCCACGTCTGGATATTTGACAGTCGCTCCAAAAGAATTTGTAATTTATGATTAGAAGACATTTATAATTTAAGCTAAAAACGAATACCTTCCTGAACATCATTTTTTTCAGCTTGAATATAGGAAAGAATCAATTGTTCTGCGGGGTCACTCATAGCATTCTTACATTTCTAGCAGATGAATCTTGAGAAACTGGGAAAAATGTCTTTCTTTTCTTAGGAAATGTATTAGCCATAATATTCAGAAAGAAAAAAAATCACTAAAATAAATCCAAAATTACAATTGTTAATTTTCTTCACCAGCAACAATCGTAATCCAACAGCGCCCCTTATTTTTTTATCTATATATATAAAAATGAATGTATGTATGTATGTATGTCCTTCATGCATTACCATACCGTTTATCCGATTGCCACGAAGCTTTGGGAAGTTGTTTAATACACTCCCGCGAAGGTTTCTGGCATAGTACATTTATCCTACGATAGATGGCGCGCGTGTATACGAGCATTTTACTGTATGTTCGATCGGAAGGGAATAACTGATTA